TTATGTCCCCGCAATATACTTGTGTTTGAGTCTGGGTAAATAATTTGGGAAATGGATAATAGATCAACCTTTTTACAGAATAATTGTTTGTTTTCTTCAAATTAATTCTCACAACAACTAAGGACGAATGAATGACAATAGCATTCACGCGAGAAGGGCCGACGTGATGATGACTGATTTAAGGTTTGATATAATTGTCAGTGATAAAGCATTTTACCTCATATAATCAACAATGAGTTTGAATGTTGGCGACTGACTAGTGACTACCGAGTACTTTAAAATAGTTTTTTCGGCGTGTACAGTTGCAAATACTAAACGCATGTCATATTCACTATCATATATTTGCAGAGATTTCTGTATTGCAATTATCAATCTCCAATGTTGTTTACGAAACTCTTTTTGCAACATGGACCCTTGCAGATAAATAATTATCATTAGTTGCGGAACTATGAAGCGCTCTCATAGGTGATATAAACTCGGTATAAAGGAAACAAACCAATTTTTATCTTTACATTTTCATTATAATATTTATAACATGTAATTATAAATATAATATGTACTCTAGAGTTTATATATATCCGTATGATAGTTTGTTAACGACAGAAGTATTTAAACTGCAGTATTAAATACTTACGTGGTGTACCGGTAAGCTATTTTACTTGCAGTGTGATATCACTATGCAAAATTACAGAATATCTAGCGATTATGTTAAAAAACCCCGAACATATGCAAAATTTGGATAATTTTTAATCGGTTGCGCACGCTTTGTTATGAGCAGAAGAGATGCACAGAACGGACATCAAGTACTTCAACTTTTTTTGCCTTCACGACAAAAAATATAGTAATCAGGTCTTAGCTACAGTCACAACAACCATAACCTTGATATCGGTATTAAATTGTCATCTTTATCAGAATTCCTTCGTAAAACGAGCCAAAACTTCACATTAAACTACGTCAACTGACGGAATCGCTATAATTTTAGAATTAGAGTTGACTTCCGGTCTAAAAAGGTGAATGGAAGACGCATATTTTCTCTGTGATTTGCCAATCGAAATTTTTCGTACGATCATCGCGAACTTTATCCTTTTCCCGCCTAAGCTGGCAAATCACAACGTTAAGGTCAGTATACGGTTAAACATGCATTCATACATATACTGTTTGTCTCAGTTTAAGCACTTTAAAAAACGATAGAATTCAACAGTTCAGGCCCTTGGAAGTTCTCAGTAAAAGCCCTTAAGGCTTCCTTCTGTAGCGTATGATAAAGTATTTTCTGATTTTTTCCCACTGTTTGGTGCGTACGAAGTTGCGATAACCTTTCTCAAAAAATGGGTGGGTATACTCGGGAATGGGCTTAAAATGATAAAATCTACAATCCCCTAATGCTATAATCCCGCATGCACGACTATCAAATGTTATTTTTCACTGGGGTTTTCGCGTAGAAATGTATTTCAGTGGCTGTAGACGTAGCCAGCCTGACGATTTTGTCCCGCTATGTAAATTTCGAGTTATTATAATTATTCATGTCTTTAGAAATCTATTGTTTTCTCAGTCAGTGAACACTAAGATATTAGCATAGCGGGACAAATTGACAGGCTGGCTACGCCATTGGCTGCAGTGTTTACGAGGGAAAATACAAGAACTTAGGGGTTGGCAAAATAACAAATTTCATCCCCACGACTCAAGGGTTACGTGGGGGGGGGGACTATTTCATGTGATCTTAAATCAAGACCTGTTCGGACAATAAATATGTATAGATGTTCAGGTATTCACATATACATTTTGGCAAACTGAGATTGAGACTTACGGTCGCCTACATGCATTAGGGCTCCGTTCACAAGGTACCGCATTGCAATATTGGAACGGGTCAAATATTGAAGACAGTGGAGATCTGTAAAAATAAGTATGCCAAATCATTCAAACTAATAAAATTTTGCTAATAATCGTTGCTCAATAACGACAAACGACGATGTCGTGACGAGCGGATCCGGAGCGTGAACGCAGCCTTGGAGGAACACCGAACCCGGCAGCTAAGCCTACAGTAGTCAAACCATTGTCTGGTATTCATACCTTAACCTACCTGAGCGTCATCATGTATAGCCTATACAGATACATATACAACCATCTTTCGATTATAATGTAATGTGCTTAACCATCTTTCGATTATAATGTAATGACCATACTGTGTCCTTAAGAAAGTTACAATCCATATTCTGATTAACTCCAATTTTCTGACGTGTTCTGAAAATAGTTCATTTTTGACGAGACATAAAGTTAACCTGTTAACCGGTTTCTTATGGTTTATCTTGGCCTTATCGTATAATTGAGTCATACAGTAGAGCTGTCCTTATTCACTTTTGCCTTGGGGCAAATCGCTGATTCATTTAAGTGATTCATATACGAGCAACGAGAGTTCTATTGTTTTGGAAACATCCGGCCTCCAGGAAACTTCTAGTGCGTGCGAAAATTTCAAGAATGATAAAATCAAAAATCAATGTCAAAATTCGCATGAATCATGTAATGAAATAAGTCAGAACGCGAGAAAAACAGAGTTAGCTTTCCCTTTCGCTGATCGATAGTCGATTAAAACATGGCCTTACCCTAAAACCGTGTTAATAGATTAGCTAGATAGCAATGCCCTCACGAGTACATTCAAAATATAAAAAAGTTCGAAGTCGAAGAGCTCTTGACCGTGTATGGAAATTGAAACTGAGCATTAAACATGCAGGCGCCTTTAGACGCTGGCTGAGAAGAATATTGATGTATTCTTCTTATGCTTGACCGATTTCTTTTCAAAGCGATTGTTTTTTACTGTTGTGGACACGAGGACACAAATATCCAGCCAAAAATTAAGAATAGTCCTCGGTGTAATAATCTTTTGTTTGTGATTATGCATAATTTTACGTCGGCATGGAAAGGACGATTGTTTTGCATATTATGACTGCCAATGATTAATAGTCTAGGCGTCTAGCAAAGCATCACATCGCTTCGTTATATCGCTCTGAAAAGCACATGCCTTAGGGGCTGTTTATATGAGCCCGGTTGCCCGAGATTCAACGAAGCGTGAGATGATTTTGAGGTATTGAAATGAGCAAATAACATGATCCTGACAGTCATATAATCACCACAACAATAGCATGTGCTTGTTTGGTATCATAAAGACTTATTTCAATACCTCAAAGTCATCTCACGCTTCGTTGAATCTCGGGTAACAGGGCTCATGTAATCAGCCCCTTAACCAAAATTTCAAGGCAATTGCGTAAGCTAAGGCCGGCTTTTCACCTCGAAACCTTAGCTCATTGTAAACACCTTTTAAAATTGGGGAATTCTAGAGCTTGTTTTTTTTAATGTTGACCACAGCTTATCGGCGCGTACTTGTGAACAGGTCTTGGGTTGCAAGCTATAATCTGTAAACAGATGAAGCTCACGACGACGATTGATGTTGTTGTAATAAGGTAGGATGGGTATTTGCTTTCGGTGTGCGAATAATATCGGATTATCACCGCCTTTTGAGATACAGAGTAAGTTAGGTTAAACTTAACGCGAGGTAAGTTTGCTACGCTGGTTTACAGTTGAATCGCTGTCTTTACAGTTGAGAACTGCCTCGACTCTCAAGGCTCAATCAAGAGTTCTCGTTTGCTCAAAGTTCAAATCTAGCTGTCCGACTGTTGCTTTGTTTAACCGAGAGCTATAGAACTATCGATATAAGCGTGTTCTTATTAACACCAGACGATTAATTCAAGTATTTCAATAGCTTCGGGGCCATTGCAGATGCACTATCTAGTCCATATTGCATACAGATTAGTGGGTATTCTAATACGTCATCGGGAAGTGGTGGAATTCGTGGTAAGAATGCTTACCAACAGCGCCAACAAGTTCCATCCTGGTTCATTTCCGTTAACACTGCAGGACTGTAAGTCCTCTGACACCACCTCCTGTAATCTACACACATAATTATAGCTCCTTACAACCCTTTACAGTTCCCCAAAGCTACGCATAGCCATCTACAACGCCCCACAGTTCTTTACATCCGTTCACATACTCTAGAATCCATACCTCTTAAAAGTCCTTCACATCTCTCCATAGCCTTCCACACCCCCTCCAAAACCTTTTAAAATTCTCCTCACTTCTCCATAGCCTTGCATACCTCTCTACAGCCGACTAAGCCTCTCTACAGCCTTCCTCAACCTCGTAGCCAGTAAACTGACCCTGGGTAGAGGTTTAGCATTCCACACTTCTGCACAGCCCTCCACACTTCTGCACAGCCCTTCACACTTCTGCACAGCCCTCCACAGCCCTCCACACTTCTACACAGCTCTCCACACTTCTCCACAGCCCTCCACAGCCCTCCACACTTCTACACAACCTTCCACAGCCCTCCACACTTCTACACAGCCCTCCACAGCCCTCCACATTTCTACACAGCCCTCCACACCTCTCTCCACAGCTTTCCATCCTCCCTCTTCAGCTCCATAGCCCTGAAACAACTGAAGGGAAATTTCCCACTTCGGGAAAGTTTTCTCCAGATTGAATCAGAGAGGAAATATCATCTGCTACTTCGTTTATAACGGCAAAACTAATGACTTTTTAAAACAAAGAAAGGAAACCTTTCTTTCCGGTGCGGTAATGAAGTGCAAAATCCGCTTCGAGAACGGTGCATGATATATGTCATATATGCATTACCTTGACTCGCAAATGGCGATAAAAAGCAAACAGCTGCCGTGTATATTTTAGTGTGTTCTGTCAATATTTGTTCACGTTAGCATCAACTCATCACGATTAATCACTCCTATTGTGTGGACAAGAATGGTCTCATAATCGTTCCGTTAGGGGGTCGGTTAGAAAAATTTAAATCGGTCAATCTACGTAGATACTGCGCAATGCGAAAAGCATTTGCGATTGCACAGCTAATTTATTCAACACATTATTTAGAGGCTCAGATGCATTAATCGAATCAGGGCCTATTTCCTATTCATCTTTCAGCTAATTTTCTGATATCCGGACATGTCTGTCTTCGAGGAGCCATTTTGAAATTACACGCGTTTACCTGTTCCATGCCGTATGCGAGTTATTGTTCGTCTAACTAAGTGCCACTTCACTTTGGTGTGGGTGAAAACCGATCATTCGGCCTTAAATGCTTTGTTGTTGTTCCGCGTTGTCTATAAAAAGATAAATCACAACCTCCGGTCGCATTTAACAGATATTTCCCGCAATTTCGGTCTATTTATGCTGTTCAGATTGCATCTGTTATCAAAGTTGGCATGTTGTTCATGGGATTGAATATACAAGCATCTGTGAGATGCCTTGTTGATTTCTCATGCGTCAGGCACCGCATTTCCTAGCGGGTTTGTTTTTCAAATCAAGGCGTCGTGATTAGCGTCGCATACGTCATTGGCGATTGGGAATAAGAATGCTCACGACAGGCAACTCTTGATCATTTCAAAACAAACTGTTTCAAAAGAAGGACAGGACTGAAAATCGTACCGAATTCAGCAAAAAGCCGTGAAATATGAAGAAGGAGAAACGACGTGGCAGTAAAGGTTAGAAATAACTTCTTTTTATTTTAAAGCTTTGTAATAACAAATTCGTCAAAATTCTTTATTGCTGTTCCATGTATATCTATCGGGATTTCAAACCGATAAATATTATATATATAATGTGGTTAAAACCTATTTTTCTATTTGCGGACTATACTACATAGCTTATACAAAAACATAGCTCATTTTCCCGGAATCTGTTATCGTATTTGCAAAAATGCAATTCCATAGCGCGCTTGAAAGGTTTTCTAGTTTTGGAGCGAGAGACTTGATAATATAGGTAATAGGACATCTGATTTTACCTATAATTTTGTTGATCTGCGCTAGCTCGCCTGTTATATGACCTTTTCACGTAATCCTGTTCGGCACAAAAGATATTCTGCTCGGTATTTTTGAATCAGTTTTAGTTCAAATATCGTTGTGTTTAAATATAGACAAATTTGCAGTAGTTTAGAGAAGGCATGAGAATACTCGATTCAAATTAATTTTTGCCTTTCTCCGTCAACACTCAATCGAGAGGTTTAGCCAGAGATATTATATCTCGTGTAAAATGCAGGACAAATAAACGAATCCGTGCAATTTAGTTTTAACTAGCGCTTTATTTTCACACCGAGATTGCATCAATGCAAATTCTCTCCGTTTGGATTAGAAAACAGCTATGAAAAACAAACCCTTCATTTTATCGCGCGTCAACGCAAGACGGATTGCTGTCTGGACCCAGTGGAATATGCCAGAAGTCTAACTTTATCAGCATTGATTTAGCATCTACTCGATTTGCGATATCTCTAAACTGGAAGCTTCCATTGCAAGCGACTACAATAATAAACGTCGTTGTAGTTCTTTTATCTCATTTTTACGCCGAGAAGTGCAAAATGGACCGCCAAATCCGCATAGTTCCGTGCATGGTTGTCGTGGGCAGGGGGGTGGTCGGTCTTGAATTAGGGGGGAGGAGTAGTTACCTGCATCAACGGTAGTTAAAATAAGCACCTGCGCCTTGTGGTAGATCCCAAGTCGATAATTGTGAGTCTGAACTTCGCGCGTTCATATTTTAAACGACTAGGCAATCTTAACTCTGATTCCACATCTAACATTGCGAAAGGCGTCTACTTCTACAGGGTAATAAAAAAACGAATTATTGCATAAACTGATGTACGTTAGCTAACAATTCTTGGATGAACTTATGTTAGGAACTTACTTCTACAATTCTAACATGAGTCTTGGGATTTGATGAAGCTTATTATAGGTTTTTCATTCGACAAAACTTAAAGGCATTGCGTGAACCATCAGATCTAGTATATAATCTTTTGCGACTTTACTACAATACGGATTATTTCATGTGATCAGCTTTTAAATTCCTGCAATGCTTTTCTATTGTTCAGCAGACGTGTGTTGAAGGAATTCCGCAAACACTTAGAACAATTTAGTCATTCTGAGATTTCGATCAGCAACCGGATTGAAATGAAATTCTAAACTTCTGAGAAACGTCAAAGTTGAATTTGAAGATGATTTATACACATTCACACTCTGATTAAATAAATTCCAAGGAACGAACAATAAAAGTTAACACGTTATCACAACGTCGAAGGAACTAGATCGATATCCGTTGAACAAAAGATAATTGCATCTAGAAAGTTTCAACCGTGCGATACGCAAGTCATTGCAAGATTTTTGAAATTTCTCGGAACGGAACAGTCAAATATTGATTAATTTGATACCGAAACTAAGGGAATATATCACCAAGGTGTTTGAGAAGAGTAGGTAAAGACAATATTCTGATTTGTTTTTAAGCAACGGTTAAAGATAAATATTTAAATTGAAAACTTTTTAATTGATTTGGCCACAGTCACATGTCAGAGGTATAATATGATAAAGCGATTTACTGACACGTAAGGGAGACTGGACGATTTAAACAGAGTGCTACAGCTTGTTCGATGCGGACTTGCCTTTAATTCGGCCAATATAGAGGGGCTAGAATGTCGTTTTCAAAGTCAGTTGTCTGAATTCACGATATAGAACGACTTCATGTATTTCACAAACAGAACAAATAGTGAATAGATTAGAAAGCTTTGTTATCAAATTTCGATGTTGTAGTATACTATATTATATGTTTAAACATTTGTATCATTAGGAGAAACTGTTCGGCTGTAACTGCTAGTTTCATCGCTTATCATTCGATCTGCAGCCTTTGTGTAGTCAACTCAACGAGTTTTTCGTTCGTAAACCATCGTAGCAGCGAGCATGCGCAGACTGGGGCCTGCGCAAATTGCGTAAAAATAATGTCACAAGGTGTTTTTGCTTATCGCAAAGATCATCCGGCAAACAGGTTTCGTCGAATTTGTGGAATTTAAAATTAGTTTTGATACGTGATGGGTTACGATTTTTCATCTTCACTAATAATCTTGCTATGCATGATACAATTAATCATTTGGAATAACTTGTCACATCAGCAACCGTGAATTTTTTTTTGGACTGAGGTCAAGGTGAACTTTAATAAATTTTCAAAACTTTAAAAGACGATCAAATTTATCAGTTATGGTTGAAAACGTTTCCCACAAATTCGTATAAGAGGAAAAATCTTTGATTTTTTTTGTGGAGAGGGCAAGTCATCCTTGTTCCACGCGGTCCCTGCATGTCCACGGTTTCCACCCACGATCCCCACAAAATCCCAGCGCTTTGATTAAAAGATTTTCAAATCATATTTCGAGTAAACCAGATGGAGCACATGGCTTTCGTATCTTTCAATAAAAAAAATTATCTTCGGTATAAGACTTCCTACTAAGGAAACAATCCGTCTGTAGACACGCGACTGTAGTGACCTATCTCATGTAGTGTTGAAATTGATCAGGATATGAGAAAGAATACACAAGCTTTTTCCTGCCTAAACGATAACGCCGGTATTATTCGAAATCAAATTAAGGTGGCAGGATTTGTTGTGAACATTTGTGTTTTCTTTGTTTTCTTTTTCATTGAACAATCAAGCATATTCCAGCGGTTACGTTTCAATATTGTTCGTCCTTGACGTCATACAAAAATAGCCTAAAGGCAGAGACTGCATAAAGTGATTTGCCAATTATTACAAACTAATTTAACGAACTCTGTGTAAATTTTGAAGCCTTCAAAAGCTCTCATAATAGGAAAGCTATATTGACCTACCGCAAAGCATGCATTCAAAAATTGCATTTCATCTGTACGACTGCACTGTTTCAATTATATTTAAAAAAAATGCACCTATCATAACAGATATTTAATCAACCACTTCGGAATGAAATATTGCTGTTTTGACATAGTCCTTAGCTCGAAAGAGACTTTTAGCGTTTTAAAAACAAACTTCGATCTAATTTTGCTTCACCGTACTCTGCTTAGCTATCATGCGCGCCGAGACACTTAGATAGGCGCTTGCCGAACGCTTGTACACACTTCTAGAAGGGTCTGGCTAATATTTTAGTCGTTGATAACAATTTACTAAGTGCAATTAACTGTCACATCAAGATAATTGTGAATACTATAGACTATAGAGCAACGTAAAAAGAATATACAAGACTTAAGAGCATAATCAGCCTTTGTGTATCGCCGAATTTTCATAGATTATAGGTTTAATCGGGGAATAAGCGATGGTTTTGCCTGCAAAGGTCTCATCGTTTATGCAAATCTCTTCTGCGTTCCTAAATATGGAAACATTGATAATACTCTTAACCACGCCTTTTTATAGCCAACGATTTATTATATGAGAAGGAATTAAGGGGATTTTCAACTGATCACGAGCGATATGCCATAGAATTTCCTTCATGTCGCTTTGAGAATTTCAAGCAGGGTTTTTACAACGGACTGTTTTAGCATTGAAATTTAGAGGAAACAGCTTTTACTTCATGGAAACTTTGTCCCCAGCTAGACACAGTGTCTTTGGTGTAAATAAATAATGTCGCAATGGGCTGCATGTTGCAAACTACATCATTTTTTAAATCGCGTGACGAGTGTTTTTTTTTAAAAACGTCTTATATGCTGATAAGAATCGAATCGAGGACAACGTCCTGTACAACTTAAGGTCGGATTTTTGTGCTTTGCAAATTGATTTGGCGATACCAAACTATAGATACAGACGTCAAAAAGGCGATAAACTGGCAAACGAAATCTTGCAGTTTTAATTGAGATTGATTTCCGGACTTTGAAAACTGCTATTTTTCCCGTTTTGCAGTTATTTCGCTTGTAAATAGAATCGAACCGTCTAATATCCCGACATTACTTCGTATATTTAAAGGTAATGCCGTGTAAGGATTCTTTGAATCGGTTTTATACGGATTTTAACACAATAATCAGCGTGTTGTAGGATTTTTGCCACATGGCCCATCAGAAAGGCGGCGAGATTTTGATCTCAGTTTAATTAACCTTTGTGGCAATGTATACATACATTGGTTCGACAGCTATAGGTCATAATAGTCTACCACAATAGCTCAGCGCTCTCGTGTAGTGATTATAACCTTCTGTTTTTTACACAGGCAATGTGTTTAGTATGTTTTTTGATATGGACACGACGAAGCGACGTAATGGCAAGCAAGCGAACGAGGACATGCCTTCTGTGTTCGTAACCGTTTCCCCGGAATTGGAAAAACGGAACAAAGCATTCTCGCGCAGCAAACGGAAGATCAAGATTGCAATTATGGGAAAATCGGGAGTTGGAAAATCAGGCAAGTGTATACTGAATATATTTATAATCATGTGCCGATATCTCTACCAATTAATCTTTACTGCTTTTTAAACCATCACACTTGTGTATAAATACAATTGTGAACTGTTCACTTCATCCCGGAGTTGAAATATATCGGCTGAAAATATAAGTTTTATAAATAGTCAGGCTTAGCGATGCATACGATAAATATAACATAAGTTTTAAACTTTTCGTTTCTTGGGAGTGAAGTTCGCTTCCGGGACTTAATTAGCTTAGTTTTCACGGCTTCGTGTGATTGTAGCCAACCAGACTATCGATACCTTGAAATATTAGCAAATATACCGTAAATTTTCAACAGAAATGCTGGTATAATAAGGGTAAATAGTGGTTGTGTATTCAAAAATGTCAGCATCAAAGAGTGACGGTGTTTTGCTTTTGATATTTGCGTTTCTCCGTTAAATTTTAAAGGGTTAAGACTTTAGTTATCACCTCGAACAAAGCGCGGCAACTAACGACAAAGGTTGTGTGTATGTAGATTTGTAAACAAAGGCAAAGTTTTCTTTATTGACAAACACTCGCTGTATGTGGGCGAAAATATTCATGATTATGCATGGCGGTTATTATGTAAACGACAGCGGTGCAAAAACATTCAAGCCGATAGTTCATTTGCAGCTTATAGGCTTGGTTTTAGCTGTTGAAGTTTCAAATTTAGACTCGTAGCGTTTTAACAACCAGCTTGAAAGAAGACCTAACTTCCTTCAAGCATTTCTAATAAATGTTTAATGCTAATAGCTTAATTATACTTATTGCATGTGTCTGCCTATATATGGAAAATATCACCTCTAATCCTGTAAAAAAACGGTGTGGAAACAGATTGATCGTAATTTGTACATCTGTATTCTACCAACTTAGTTGCGAATAAGACGTTTTCAATGCCTTTCCCCCACGCCAAAAGTCGAAGCAATGCAATGTAGCTGTTTTATGCTATGCAACGTACCATGCAGGTATAGCGCTACCTCATTTTACCAATAGAAATTATTGAACTATGGAGTATAGCCCTTCATGAACTAGTATATTAACTGAGCGTGAGCTTTGTACCTATGTACCTATATACCCATTTATAGGGACTGACCTTAATAATGATTTCTAGAAGTTTCCTAGCCTTTCTATATCGCAATTTGATAACGCAAAGTATCTTTTGCGAATATACATATAAATTTGTACTGAAATGAATATATATACATGCATGCATGCATGTATAATTCAGCGCGCCCTGGTAACATTTTAGTAAACTGTTGCCATTGTATTTACAAATTAGAATGATGTTGTGGTTTCTGGACCAAGCTTTATGGGTGTATTTAACTCGAACACCTGTAGTTGTAATCTGGTCTCCTGTGAAGATCAATGTTTCACCTAATCGTAAAAGCTCTCAAAATTGAATTAACCTCACTGCTGTTTATGTCATAATAGCCGTGATTATGCCTAAGACTAGACCTTTGTATTATCTCAGCACGGCTCCGAAAGCTTTCAAAACAAATAGGGCTGATATCACAAGACCAAACCGCATGATATCGAGTTGAAAAGTGTGGCGAAAATAGTTTTTTAATTCTCTTAACGATTGAAAAACCGTTTTTAGCCAAATACAAAGCGACGCTCGATACGATGCATGGAACAGACTTACCGCTAAACGAATTGCGACATATCTTCAATTTGGAAAAGCATATTTGCACACAGTTAGCGGCACTTACTATCAACATTGATATATAGATATAGATAGCTTTCTTTAACTATGTTAAACCTGTCATCTGAAGCTGTTTTCCAAGCGTTTACGAAATATACATTCAAGCATAATTTTGTGCTTTGAGCAATTTACTTGATCCTTCTGTAGACATAAATAAGTTTACAGAATATCGAAAAGAGCATCGATTGTTTCTTTTGATGAAACTTGTTTTTTTTACCACGGACTTCTTTTGAATGCTTAAAAATTTTATCTCAAAGATATCACAAAAGCAGAATACGGTATATTCATTAATGGGGATTCCTTAAAACAGCTGTCTTTGTTTTGTTGGGAAGATATATACTCGTTTACGAAGGAATTTTTATCTAAGAATTTAGCCGAACTAGTTTACTTAAAACAGACCCGCTTTTCAGGCATCAGAGATAATATAATCTTCGTATTCCGCCCGTAAATTCGACGGCGGCAAAACGCCGGTCATTCTTGATGGCCTATTGTTATTCACATTAATTATGTATGTTTTTCTTTCGTTTTAGCTTTAGTTGTACGTTATCTGACGAAACGCTTTATCGGGGAGTATCAGAGCAGTGTCGGTGAGTTAATTTTCAACTTCGATAACTAGAATCCTAAATTTTATTCAGAGATTAACACATAGACTCCTCTACATGACTATAAGTCTAAGAGTGGGGTCAGTAATACCCGCATACAATCGCATGTAATTTAGATCATTTTAACCCTTTCGGCCCTATATTTTATTTTAAGCTACTATATATATAATCTACACATTCCTGACACTACCTAGCTTGCCAAGCTCACGGGCAGACGGGCTTATTTCAGTCATGCGATTATACCCACAATGCAAAGTGCTGCGAACGCTCAATAATAGAATTTTAGCATTCAAGTCAGTTGGTTGCCAAGGCCGATAGTAACCCAGCAGAGCAAAAACGCCAGGCAGACAGCAGAAAGGCAACTAGACTAAGTTCAAATGGATGTTATTTGACTAAATCGTCCATTACAGAAATGAGCGGCTCACAGATATATATCTACACCCTAGTTTCTCTTCTTAACGTGCATTTAAATAAACCTAATCGTCTAAAAGTAGTTTTTTTCTAAATTCAAGAAACGCACGCTTCGACAGAAGTTGAAATTGACGAAGAAAAAGTACTCGTGGAGATATTTGACACTTCTGTGAGTAAAATGTGTTTTGTTTAAAAAATTACAGTAAATTACATAATAAACGTGTCTGTAATGATTTTATATTGTAGTATTTTAACGGCTACTATTTTAACTTACAAATTGTGGCTTTTGAAATCCATTTGGTTGATATACTAAAACAATCGACTAAAACTAGAATTCATTTAATTCGCTTAATTCATTTACATGACCTAGTGTGTTTTAAGATATTGATCAAACATATATGAATTTTTTCATAATATTTCATTTCGAACAAGACTGATTTTTCATTTCACTATCCCAGGCCTCAGAAGAAAAAATTCAGGAACACATCAACTGGGCCGATGGTTTCATTTTGGTATTTTCAATCACAGACTACTGGAGCTTATATGAAGTAGCCAGGTTGTCGTCCATCATATCGCAGACGAAGAATGAGACACAGACACCGATCATTGTGCTCAGCAATCAGACTGACATGGAGAAACAGCGACGAATTTCAAAAACAGAAGCGAATCAATTTCTGAACGATCTTGGGAAACCTGTGTTCAAAACATCGGCGGCGCACAATTACGACAGCGTACGAACGGCGTTCGACGAGGCTTCCCGACTGGTGTACAAGTGGAAGTTCCCCGTTGAACGAAGACGCCAACGAAGTCGCTCAGGTAGCATTATGGATCCATTGCGTGATGCTTTTAATAGGTTGAGCAGGGCGCTTTCGGACGAAGAGATCCCACAGAGACCGCGTTCAGCAAGTTCCGCAGACATTACTCGCGTTACTATAACAACCACGCCATCGGGGAAACACAATCACGGGCGATCGCATTCAGAACAGAGAACCAAACATGTTGTAACGAACGAGAACTTTTTGCAAATACCACTAGTGGATGGTGCTGTGGGCCAGAAGAGGACCCGTAGTCATAGCTTTGCTTGAGTAACCGACAATTAAACGCCCGTCAAACGGACAAAAATCTCGTTATTTATTGCCGGAATCACAATAATTTAATTATGATGGTTTACGAGTTCTTAAAAATGAAGAATATGCTACACAGAATGAGCTCAATAACTATCTGGAGTGACTCTAACTTGTGATATCTGCGCACAGTGATCCAACGTGGCCTAAATTGACGTCAGGTTCATTTGGGAAGAGCCTTTCTATTGTCATCTGACGTGCAAGGATTTCAAAGGCTGGATGACCTGTGAATACTGTAAATATGATTTAATATAGAGGTCATTTAGTCATACAGTATAAATTAATCACCTGTAAATAAAGAGCAATTTATATGTATATACAAGACGAATAATTAAACAATTTTTGTTTCTCGCATAAATCAAACAAAAACTGAAAAGGTATAGTAGCATTTCTCACTGAGTTCAGGAGATACAGGGGCCGTCCGCTGGCTCAAAGCCCATTCACGCTGGAACGTAGTAACTTGACTTTTTTTTTCCATGTTTTCGACATTCAGTAAGAACAAGTTCTAGCAAGCAGGGGCCGTTGAGTCATTATATATGCAATTATTACATTCTATGATTTAGCATTTTGTGAATGTCACTTATAAAAGGCGTACTATCTTGTAAGGGACTTCGTGTCCTGTTGTAGCTACACCTTGCTTGAATTTTTTTTAAAAAAATGCTGAATAAGAAAGGTTTGATGCGAGAAAAATTGCATTTTCTTCTTCAGAAGAAATTTTTCTGGTATAAGATCAAGAAAACTAATCCTAATCTGTCAGACTAATCCTAAATCACAGATAATTTGAATAATTTTCAAAAGGAAGAATTTGCCCATGACTTTGCGCCATTTGTAAAGAGCGAAAATTTGCTAATCATTTTTAAAGGTGCGTTAACTTTGTCAAAGATTTGTATGTAATCCAGATGATAGAAGTTACGGCCATTGCGACTTCCGACATGTTCATGAATGCATTGGTATTCAAGGTAGCGTGTTGATTTGTATTTTTTTGTATTGCTAAAAAAACTTGAATAGACAAATTATGAGCAAAGTTGGAAACTAACCCATCATTGTTTTCCGACGCAATAGATAAGTAGTCACATTGCTCATCTATATAGAGAACTTTCCAAACTGTTTCAAACTAAATTTTAAAAAAAATGTCTTGAACGTAATTAATATATCTGGTATTCGAACGAATTGTAATAAAATCCTTTTCGTTCTTATAATTTGTAAATATATGAATGAGATTATTTTGGGTTTTTTAATATGAGGGTATTTTAATAAAATAGCCTATTGTGATCAAACCTCGTACCCAGGGTCTTTTTCCTGTGCTCACTCTCTGTGCTCACTCTGGGGGAGCACCCAGCGTGAGCACAGAGAGTGAGCACAGAGAAAAGACCCTGGGTACGAGGTTGATTGTGATCCGGCTTCGTCCTGAAATCCTAACTTCCTGAAATCGTTTCTTCGCTGGAAACCGACATTCTATTAATTACGCAGAATTCTTGTGATTTTCATGAAAGGGCGAAGTCAGACGCAGCTGGCGAATTAAAAATTTATCAAATTTTCTTTCTTCTTTAAAGACACAAATCATAACCACAGCGTTAGTTACATAATTCGTCCGCCATCTAACACATTGAAAACCTAGAACAAGCGAACTTCCTTCATCTGGTTCTACATTTTGATGATCAAATGCTTTTTGTGTAATCCTGGTGTAATCAACATAGTCTGCGTAGAGACATTGGAGTTGTAAGTACTTTGTTTATCTTTTGTACACTTTGTATATACGTGATGTCTTAACATGCAAGCTTTGCTGTTCGTAAATCAAAAAGCAACAATGCCTCGAAGAACTTAAGTTGAATTGCACATGAATCGATTAGTCGTTTATCACTATCTATATTAATATATTCGTCTCGACAAGAAATAACATCTTATGTTGGAGATCTAGGTCGTACTAAAAATGAAACCATTTGGCAGATGGGCGTTGTTTGCATTTCATCTAATCCCTGACATTCTTAGATTATATATTATAATAAGAGGATAATATTTCACACGTGAATGCAGCCATGATTCAGGAACTTTAACTTCCGGGATGAAAGCAAAACGAAATCTAAACTATGAACTTTGTAGCTTGTTTTTACTTCAATTCAATGTTGTAACCATTTCAAGATATACAGGGTGTCTCAAAAAAACCGAAAACTTTTGAAATCACTCATAGTTAAAATTTGAATGCCGTGTTCACGAATTTTAGCCCGTGGGGATTTAATGCAACTTATAAAATGCTAAATACGAGATATTTGAAATTGTGAATATGATTAAATTTAAATTAGCCTTGTTATTGCTTCGAAAGATGGTACAGCTACATGACCGCGGAACAACGAGTGTTTATTGTGATATTATCCCAACAGAATGCTTAGGCATTCAAACTCTAACAATTACATTGTTATGGGTGATTTCAATAGTCTTCGGTTTTTTTGATGCGACTTGAACTTTGATTCCTCCACAGGTTTTCTTGCGACGAAAATGTGAGGGAAATAAGTTAAGAATATACATGCAGGGTGTGTGTTTTGAAATCAGATAGTTAACTATAAAGTTGAATAATCTATCACTATAATTTATCCCAAGGGATCGTAAACACAATTCATCATGCTCGGGGATGTTGAAGTTCGATTGTTATGACTTATAAGTGGCTATTCTAATAAGTAATAACAAAGAATTAAATGCTTTTTCAAATCCCAGAAGTATGATTAGTTGCACTAGTATTGAAATGCTATTTGCAGTATCTACTTATGCAAATCATGGTGTTCGCGCTTTTTCGATATACCCTGTAGTTCTGTAGTTTATAATTTAATATCAGATATCAACAGAAAGCCCACACATTTTCAGATAGCGTTACTTGGTTACCATGGTATAAAAATATTATATATATATATAAATGTTCTCTGTGTTTATCATACTTATCCTTAACGGGCATATTCAATGAATGAAAATATAATTTTTAATTCCCTTTAATAATTCCCTTTCCCTCACCAGCTCACTCATTACGAGTGCCTAATGTAGATTTGAAACACGTAGTTAGATATCGTCATGGTGCCATTTCCATGGTGACGTTATGCATGCAGTAATAAGGACTTTAGTTTAGGGGTTTCGGGTGTCAGTATATTATTAGCGAGGTTCAGATTTGGCTTCCACTACCACTAGCAGTATACCGCTACCTCTCGCTAATCTATTAAATCGGACAGAGCGAGGACGCTAAACAAACTGCAGTAATTTATTCTATTCAAGTTGGTGTGCGCTAACTAAAGTAAGTCGTTTTTTATCCTGTTGTTTTGATTAGTATCATCAGCTGTTTTTTATGATTGTATAGATTCATGTTTATGTTGGTTTGCGCGCATGCCATAATCTGTGTAATCCTTTTCTAAGTTGTGTTACTTGTGTAGTTCGAACCCATAAACCAAACCTAATTGATATCACACACCTGCAACCATACCAAATTCTAGTTACCGAGCCTCAATCCCTATCGAGAACATTGTATCAGAAAATTGTGCCATTTAACTGGTATTAAAGTTATTGTTTGTGTTATATCTGCGTATGGAGTTCGTTATTGCTGCGCATCATACTTGAATCAACTCTTGGGACTTTGCGCATGTTAATAATCTGCCCAGAGAGTTTACACCTAGGCCTTGGGACCTTAGGTGGCGGTTTAAAAGGAGAAAGGAACACACACACAACCCAAGCCATACATCCATCCAAAGCGTAATAATCAGCTTGAATGTGAGACATCAGTGCGAATGTACATTCTTAACATATCAAATGTCCAAGTGCCATACAACTCATCTCATCGTCGTCATGAACATTCTTACAATGCAGGAAATAAGTATAGCTAAGAATACGCCCTCCCTCGAATTAGGCTCTATAGAATTGTCCTTAAACATAAACACAATGTTTTTAACGCCTTATATCTCACTGAATTGGTACAATTAATAATATAAAACAACAACTTTGCCATAGCATTTATTTAAAGGAGAATTTCAGCCGCGTCGTCGTCGTGTTGCCGTCCTACATGCTTAAGGTCCCTATTAATAAACAGGTTGAAAACGCGATATACTGTCCTTGTCGAAACAAACAAATCGACAGCAACTCTGGTGGAAGACCTGTTATAAAATAATTTCTGCCACACAATCAACACAATCCCCCATCTTGTATCGTCTGAATACGGCTTAGGTATTTTACAACAAAAATATCTCAAATAAGCAATAACCTTAAAGCAATTTTGCAGCGTTTGCATGCGTAATTAGATATGACACGTGATGGAAATATGTGGTCACATGTCACAACTATTTGTATATATGTATATATTTTCGGACAACCTTTCCTAGATCCACTATATATATATATAATTATATATATATAATATATATATATATATAATATATATAATAATATATATATATTTATATATATATTTATATATATATATATAAATCAGTATGAAGATAACAAGTATCGAAATCATGTAGGTATAGAGTGCTCAATACCGTATGGTAGAACAGGCCTGAATTAAGCATATAATATTTCATAGCGCTCATAAACGCGATCAGTTGTTACCTGACGAGTGTGGTAAGCTTTGCTTGCTATACGAAACAAATTTGTAGTAATAAAGTTTTAATGGAATAAACCAGTTTGTCATTCTTGTTATATATATATATATATATATATATGTATATATATATATATATATATATATATATATATATCTTCGATATCAAGAGCTTATCAGCTCAATAGGTGGATTAATTATTTGCATGAGGATGGTACTTGGGAAAGGGAATGATTTGTAGTAGGATATGACACAGAGTGGCAGCCCGCCATGGCAAGCAGAAAATTCTACTTGACCACGGCAGGATTTGATCCCGCGGCCTTCGGTATACTAGTCCGATGGTCCGGGTTGGCCATGTAGCTCAGTTGGCAGAGCATCGGACTAGTATACCAAAGGCCGCAGGTTCAAATCCTGCCGTGGTCAAGTAGAATTTTTTGTTGGTTGCCATGTCGGGCGGCCGCTCGGTGTCATATCCTACTGCAAATTATATATATATATATATATATATATATATATATATATATATATATATATATATATATATATATATTTATACCATGGTATCAGTTTACCAAGTAACGCTATCTGAAAATGTGTGGGCTTTCTGTTGATATCTGATATATAATTATAAACTACAGAACTACAGAACTACAGGGTATATCGAAAGAGCGCGAACACCATGATTTGCATAAGTAGATACTGCAAATAGCATTTCAATACTAGTGCAACTAATCATACTTCTGGGATTTTAAAAATCATTTAATTCTTTGTTATTACTTATTAGAATAGCCACTTATAAGTTATAACAATCGAGCTTCAACATCCCCGAGCATGATGAATTGTGTTTACGATCCCTTGGGATAAATTATAGTGATAGATTATTCAACTTTATAGTTAACTATCTGATTTCAAAACACACACCCTGCATGTATATTCTCAACTTATTTCCCTCACATTTTCGTCGCAAGAAAACCTGAGGAGGAATGAAAGTTCAAGTCGCATCTACAGGGTGTCTCAAAAAAACCGAAGACTATTGAAATTACTCATAACAATGTAATTGTTAGAGTTTGAATGCCTAAGCACTCTGTTGGGATATTATCACAATAAACACTCGTTGTTTAGAGAACCAAACATGTTGTAACGAACGAAAACTTTTTACAAATACCAATAGTGGATGGTGCTGTGGGCCAGAAAAGGACCCGTAGTCATAGCTTTGCTTGACAATTAAACCGACAATTAAACCGCCCGTCAAACGGACAAACATCTCGTTATTTATTGCCGGATCACAATAATTTTATTATGATGGTTTACGAGTTCTTAAAAATGAAGAATATGCTACACAAATTGAGCTCTATAACTATCTGGAGTGGCTGTAGCTTGTGATATCTGCGCACAGTGTTCCAACGTGGCCTAAATTGACGTCAGGTTCATCTGGGAAGAGGTTTTCTATTGTTATCCGACGTGCAAGGATTTCAAAGGCTGGATGACCTGTGAATACTGTAAATATGATTTAATATAGAGGTCATTTAGTCATACAGTATAAATTAATCGCCTGTAAACAAAGAGCAATTTATATGTATATACAAGACGAATAATTAAAACAATTTTTGTTTCTCGCATAAATTAAACATAAACTCGAAAGGTATAGTAGCATTTTTCACTGAGTTCACGAGATACAGTAGCCGTCTGCTGGCTCAAAACCCATTTACGCTGCAACTTGGTAACTACTCGACTTTTTTACCACGTTTTCGACATTCACTTAGAACAAATTTTTAGCAAAACCAGTGAACTCAAATAAGACTGGAGCGCTCACTCTCTGACTTTCCCTCATTAATGAGTGAAGCCAAGATGGCCGATCATGAAGCCTTTCTTGTAGGTATGATCCAGAAGTTTTTGTGGTATAAGATCAAGAAAACGTCTGTCAGACCTTACATAATTTTTTCCTATAAATCACGGATAATTTGAATAATTTTCAAAAGGAAGAATTGGTCCATGACTGCGCCATTTGTGCGAAAATTTGCTAATCATATATAAAAGTGCGTTAACTTTAACAAAGATTTGTATGTAATCCAGATGATAGAAGTTATAGCTATTACGACTTCCGACATGTTCATGAATGCATTGGTATTCAAGGTTTGCAGTTAGCGTGGTATTCAAAGTTTGCAGTTAGCGTGGTATTCAAGGTTTGCAGTTAGCGTGTTGATTTGTATTTTTTTGTATTGCTAAACAAATTAATAGACATTTGGAGCACAGTTGGAAACTAACCCATCATTGTTTTCAAGTAGTGATATTGTTCATCTCTATAGAGAACATTCCAAACTGTTTCAAACTAAATTATGAATCCCCAAAATAAATGAAATTATTTTGGGTCTTCCAATAGAGTATTTTAATAAAATAGCCTGTTGTGATCTTGATCTTGAAATCTTAACTTTAATGTCAATTAGTTCTAAAAACATTTGAGGTTGTTATTGCGCTTCTTTGCTGGAAACCGACATTCTGTTTTTGTCAATTTTCATAACAAAGGGCGAAGTCAGGCGCGGCTGCCTAATTAAAAATTAATCAAATTTTCTTTCTTCTTAAAATACACAAATCATAACCACAGCGTCAGTTACATAACTCGTCCGCTATCTAACACATTGAAAACCTATAACAAACAGACTTTTCCTTCATCTTGGTTCTGCATTTTGATGATAAAATGCTTTTCGTGTAATCTACATGGTCAGCGTAGAGACATTGGAGTTGTAAGTACTTTGTTTATCTTTTGTATACTTTGTATATACGTAATGTTTAACATGCACACTTTGCTGTTCGTAAATCAGAAAACATCATTGCCTTAAAGAGCTTAAGTTGAATTGCACATGAATCGACGAGTCTTTTATCACTATCTATATTAATATATTCGTCTCGACAAGAAATGACATATTATGTAGGAGATTTACGTCGTACTAAAAGTGAAACCATTTTGCAGATGGGCGTTGTTTACATTGCATCTAATCCCTGACATTCTCAGATTATATATTTTGTTCACAAAATTTTAAGCTCGAGATATTTCAGGAAGAAATTATAATAAGAGGATAATATTTTACACGTGAATGCAGCCATGATTTTTGGACCTTTAACATTCAGGGTGAAAGCAAAACGAAATCTAAACTATGAACTTGGTGGCTTGTCTTTCCTTTAATTCAATGTTGTATATATTTCAAGATATAGATCGAGTTTAGCTCTATAAACTACCATTCGAGAATGCGACTTGCACTTTGATTCCTAGCTCTTCAAGTTTTCTTGCGACGAAAGTGGGAGGGAAATGTACAGGGTGTGTCTTTTGAAATCAGATAGTTATAAAGTTGAATAATCTATCACTAGAATTTATCCCAAGGGATCGTAAACACAATTCATCATGCTCGGGGATGTCGAAGTTCGACTGTTATAACTTATATGTGGTTATTCTAGTAACAAAGAATAAAACGCCTTCTCAAATCCCAAAAGTATAATTAGCTGCGCTGGTATTGAAATGCTATTTGCAGTATCTACGTATGCAAATCATGGTATTAGCGCTTTTTTGATACACCCTGTAGTTTATATAGCAGATATCAACAGAAAACCCACACATTTTCAGATAAACATATACATACCTAAGAAACGCCTCTTTCATTCAAAATATCTGACTGCATGGCAACACGCTGATATTATTATTGCACCTCATAGCAGGGTATCCATACATGCATAGTACTTATTGGTCTCATAGTAAAAAAATCAAAATTCTCTATTAGCCTAATAATACAAGCTTGCGAGTCGTTAAAGGAAGACTCGTTCTTGAACTGATCCGTGTGAAAAGCATGCATGCATTCTTATTCATCCGGGCTATATTCAAATGAACTTTCAAATGAGAATATATATAATTATGGATCGATATAGGTAAACAACATAATTGCCAGAAAGCTATAACCACGATATGCAAAATGCTTTTTGGCAAAAGACAACAATTTTATATATTCTTTGTCGTGCATTAAAGCAGCATGTGGTTTTTAGGTCTGTATAGTTTCATGATATGTTATTTTTGCGTTTCTCTGCTGGAAACGGTTGTTTTCTTGATTACAGATAATGATCGAGCTTAGAATGGGATCGTTATATGTAAGGAGATTGACACATCGCATTCAATGAATTTGAGTGCGAGTGAGCTTTTAGTATATAAACGTTAAAAGTTTAAACGTTCCTGAAAGTCTAAGCTTCCTTATTCGAAATATGCTGCTAAATATTTGGGCGGTGGTTGTAACACCTGTAAAGAGTGAAAATTTGCTAATCATATATAAAGGTGCGTTAACTTTATCAAAGATTTGTATGTATATCCAGATGATAGAAGTTATAGCTATTACGACTTCCGACATGTTCATGAATGCATTGGTATTCAAGGTTTGCAGTTAGCGTGTTGATTTGTATTTTTTTGTATTGCTAAAAAATTAACAGTTGGAAACTAACCCATTATTGTTTTCCGACACAATAGATAAGTAGTCATATTGTTCATCTCTATAGAGAACATTCCAAACTGTTTCAAACTAAATTAAAAAAAGTATTAATTTGTCTTGTCGTGAACGTAATTAATATATCTGGTATTCGAACGAATTATAATAAAATTCTTTTGGTTCTTATAATTTGTAAATATATGAATGAAATTATTTTGGGTTTTCTAATAGAGAGTATTTTAATAAAATAGCCTATTGTGATCTTGATCTTGAAATCCTAACTTTATTTTTAAATGAATAATAATTTATATATAATAACAATTTATATATAATTATAGATCAATATAGGTAAACAACATAATTGCAAAAACGCTATAAACACGATATGCAAAATGCATTTTGGCAAAAGACAACAGTTTTATATATTCTCTGTCATGCATTAAAGCGGCATGTGGTATTTAGGTCTATATAGTTTCATGATATGTTATTTTTGCGTTTCTCTGCTGGAAACGGTTGTTTTCTTGATTACAGATAATGATCGAGCTTAAAAATGGAATCGTTATAAGTAAGGAGATTGTGAGCTTTTAGTATATAAACGTTAAAAGTTTAAACGTTCCTGAAAGTCTAAGCTTTCCTTATTCGAAATATGCTGCTAAATATTTGGGCGGCGATTGTAACACCTCTAAACATCCACAATTCAGTAGAGAGTATTTTTTCCACATGACCAATATACTACCGAGAAAAGGGGTCGTCAACACCATTGTAAAACACTATTTGATGATTCTTTTCAAAATTTTAATCGTTGTTTCTTTTTATTTCCAATCCCATTTGAGGACATATGCAAATAATTTTGGACGTTTGTTTGTGCAAACACCACGTGAATTTAGTTTTGCAAAACTATGTAAACATTCAAAGAACGTATATGCAAATAACTTGTTTAAGCTCTGCTTCATCAAATGACACTTGCAATTGACTGACTGTTTAACATACCATGAATTACGTGCCAATGATTTGATGATGATTTAAAATTCAATTTACCAGAGAATCAACAATGGCAAGGCGCAACGTGCTAATGATATAGAAGATTAGTAGCTAACTCCTGAAAGACAACAAACTGAGATCCAGAGGGTATGGTTTATAAAACTTTAACATAAAATATAGCTACGTGACTCAAGTTCATGCCAAAACGTTTTTTTATTGTCATGCAGTAGCCTAAAGGAACTGATCTATGAAATTTAATAGCTGTGTTTTGCAATGTATTATATAACTTTTAATTTATGGTGTAAAGATGTCCCGGGTGCAAATTGCTCAGAGCAATGCTGCATTCGTGTGATTATCATGTTATTTTAATAGGTAGTGTATAGTTATAGTTTTTTGATTTGTTATAATTAAAACTCGGTTTAAAAAAACATATTTTTTAAATTTGTTTGACAATCTCTTGTGCATGCCAGGGCATGGTGCGCTCAAAAAACAAACACATCAAAGCCTTTTTTATTATATCCGTAGTACAAATCGTAAATATTATTGGTGAAAAGCGGCTGCCGAAAACAAAAACAGGAGTGGATCTCACCCAAAGAATCTGAAAAAAACAACTACTACGGCTGAGATCACAAACACACACATTGCATACACATTCAAGCAATAAAAAGCAATGTTAAATCTTCAGGGTGGTGTTAGCGTGAGACCTAATTCAAAATATTCTTTAAAACAAGCTAGATCAGTCGATAAATATACACTAAACGATGATCAGTTAACCCATCCAAATGCGATACCTAAATATATTTTTAATAAACTGATGATAACTGATTACCGTGTCCGTGAATTTGAATTAAATAACAAAGCTAGAAATACTTACGACTCCGATGAGAGCGAGGATGAAGATGATGAGAGGGAGGATGAAGGTGACGAGAGCGAGGATGAAGGTGACGAGAGCGAGGATGAAGATGATGAGAGCGAGGATGAAGATGATGAGATGGAGGATGACGATATTGGCGAGGAAACAGGAGTCCATCCGATGGATGCATTTCTTCGTATTTTTCATTCTTCCGATATTTTTTTACGACGTTATCTTGCTACTAGGTTATCTGAATGTCAACTCAGTGTTCCATTTCTTCTGCCTGATCCTAAGACGGGGAAATCTGAAAACGTCACAATGTTACTTTCAGCTTTACAGAATATCACGAAGTCTTGGAAAAGTGGTTCCAGCAACAATGAAAGTGTACAAGAGGTGTTTGCAACCCTACATCCATTTCCAGTAGTTTCCTTCATCCGTCTCGGCCAACCAACCATGTCGAAATCATTCTTGATCAACAAAATTATGAGTGACGGAGGCAGTAACCACAATTTCTTCTTTCACAAAGATATGGAAGGTGGCGACGTCGAAAGGAAAGTAGTTGATGGATTGGTTGAATTGAGCTGGTATCTTCCTGGGGGAAAACCGGAGGCAATACTGAAACGTGAAATTTGCTTTGCAAATCTTCGAGGAGAGGCTGGAATTTTCAAGAAACAACTAAACGTTCTTTCGAAGATATCATCCATTCTTTGTATAGTACTACCATCAGCATGTCCGGATCAGACCATGCAAAATATTTTAATGAGATTTGTCCGTAACGACACAAAAGTAATTCTTTTATTCAATGAAAAATTAGAAAAAAGTGCAAAGAAATATTTTGACGAGTTAAAGAGTAATTCTGATGGAAAGTTCTCTTTGATAACAAAGGCGAAAAGACGCAATGAATATGACTATCTTCAGACTATACGAGAAGGTATCAGAAAGAAAATAGATGGAGTGAATGCAAGGCCTCTTGTGAAGATATCGATGTGTGCAAATGAATATGACATTCAACTTGAGGACGATCAAATAGATCCAGAGTTTAAGGCGATGATAGACAGCTTGTTGGAAAAGGGGATTGAAAGAATGAAAAAATTAATGACGTTGCAAATACACATCCCAGTATTGGCAGAGTTGGAGCGTGAGATGTATCGTCCAAAACGTTATGGTGACAAATTTATTAAAGAAGATAATAACGAAATATATGAGAAAGTTGCAAAAAGTAAAGAGGCGCAAAAGACATCTTTGAAACATCTTGACAAAGATATTCTTAATTGTCTTAATCACATTACAATGATGGGTGAATTAGAACGACAAAAAGCATTGAACATGTTGAAGCACCGGTTGGAAATACAAAGATCAAATGCCTCGCTTGGCTTAGAACACGTCATCAGAGAACTAGCCCAGCTATACCAAATATAAAAAGAACCACAAAAGACAATGCAAGTGCTGCAGAGGAAAGCAAATACGACTATGCAGGGGCTGCAGCAGACATGTTGCTTTCAGGACAACCTCTTGAGCTTGTTGACGGCGATCACTTTTACATTCCAATGGAATGGTTCAAAGCTGTGTGTACCAAACTAAAAGAGAAAACCAACGATGCGAAAATATTTGTGGTTTCAGTTGTAGGAATTCAAAGTTCAGGTAAGTCGACAATGTTAAATACAATGTTTGGTTTAGAATTTCCAGTCAGTGTAGGAAGGTGTACTAAAGGCGTTTTCGCTAGCCTTCTTCCTGTGAGTGATTCCCTTAAGTCAACTTCAAAGTTTGATTATGTCTTGGTTGTTGATACTGAAGGTCTCAGAGGATTATCAGATCCTCAGGTGCGGGAACGCGACAATGAGCTGGTAGTTTTTGCGATTGGTTTGGCCGATGTAACACTAGTGAATATCAAGGGTGAAATTTCTAATGATATGAAAGATTTCTTGGAAACAGCTGTCCATGCTTTCTTGAAAATGAAGCTTGCCGACGCGAACAAGATGTCTTGCAGAATTGTTCACCAAGATGTTGCAGATCCTAGTGCAAACACAAAATTAGAAGGCGACCGTATAGACTTCATAAAAAATCTTGATGAAATGACGAAGATTGCTGCAATTCAAGAAAATTGCAACGACAAATACAAAAAATTTAATGATGTTATTTCATTTAATGAGAAAGAGGACGTGTTTTATCTACCAACACTTCACTTAGGAAACCCACCAATGGCTCCCGTAAACCCTCAATATGGAAGAGGTATCCAAACAATCAAAAATGGCATAATCGACTTAATGTGCTTAACTAACTCAAACGAAAATGTAAGTTCTCGCCATTCCGTGTCTGATTTAGAAAGTTCTCACCATTCCGTATCTGATTTTCAGAAGAGGGTTACCAACATTTGGAAAGCACTTCAAGAAGAACATTTCATATTCAGTCTCCGTAACACGATTGAATTGAGAGCTCGGAGATCTTTGGACGAAAAATATTTAGAGGTATCTGTGTCTGTGATGTTGACTGGAATGGCCAAGCTTGAAGAACAAATTGATGTAGCTCTGAGAAGATGCTTAACAGCAGTTCAACGAGAGGAGGAGTGGGCTGAGAGTGAAAAAGAAATACATAGTAAAGCGAAGGAACTTGAAAAGGAAATGAAGAAAGCAATGGATTTCTTTTTCGTAAATGACAAAGACAGTACGACTCTTTATAAGTGGAGGGGAGCCATAAGTGAGGAAATTGAAAAGGAAAAGGAAAGACAAGTGACGAAGGTGAAGGACCACTGCTTTAAAACCTTGTTGTATTTGCGAAGAATTCAGGATATTGAAAGAAAAAAAAATACCTACCAGGAGAAAGTTATGGAAAAAGCTAAAGAGTTTATTATTTCAGTTCATCATATTGAAAATAAGGCGAAGTTGGAAGCGATCTTCCTTCAAGAATGGCAACGATGGATTTCAGACGTTCCAAAATTACAGGAAGTGAAAATTGATGTCATCGACGAAATGGTAGGTTTTGTATTGGAGAAGTACCCTGATTCAAGTGAAGATGAACTAGCAGAGTACAAAAATATCATATCAAACTTCCAGAATGGTGGTATTGCTGATCAGGATCTTATTTACAATATAGGCTTTTTAAAAATGTTCTTCTTTGGACGCAAAATTCGAAAAGATTGTATTGCTCGTGCTTCAGCTATTAAAAAAAAGGTGGTTGATATGGCAAAATATTTTTCTCAAGTGGCCTTGGAATCAGGGGTAAGATTTACCCGAGATAATCTCAAACAAATGTACGAGAATGTGATTACTTCCTTAGATGAAGAAACTAAAAAATATCCGTTTGAATTTAAAACATCTTCTAAACGCAATATTTTAGTGTCTTCTTTTGCACAGTCCCACCAATATTTTGATGAAATGGAAGACCGCTTTTTACAGGAACAAGATATCAGAGGAAACTTGGAAATAACCTTGCGACCACAATTAAAAAATTATTTTGAAAATGTTTACGAGAAGAGAAATAAAGAATACTTAGCTGCTCTTTTTTTCGTTAATGTACTTAAAAAGGAAATTGAATCAGCGCTGGCGCAGAGAATGGGGAAATTAGTGGCAGACGATGTATCCAGAAGCAGCGAGTTCAAAGACAAAGGTAAATTTCATGCTAAAATTCTGATTAAACTCGGCGAGGACAAAAATTTTCAGTCGTACGTCCGTTATTTGGAAGATCCAGTTGAATTTCTGAAAACAAAATTGGAGGAATCAATTGAAAACCACTGCCTTCATACAATCCTTCCTGCTACTGTTTCACTTTTCGGAAACGAAGTTAACAAAATAAAAGAACAAATTTTAACCGCCATTCGAATTGCTGACGATAAAACAAGGAAAAGGGATGGGAAATTAACTTTTTGGATTCAGCAATTTGTCGAGGTGTGTTCAACAATCATTGTCAAAAAGGAAATGTTTGCTGTGGCCGCTATTGTAGATTTAGACGAGATTAGCGTCTTCCAAGCTTCCGACCAAATCGTCAACAATCTAAATCAGTATATAGACTCTTTAATTGAAGGTGGAGTTAATCTTGCGACCTTCCGCAAATGGAATCCATCACCGCACAAATTCATCTTTGATGAAATGTTTGCTTGTCAATGTCTTTGCCCCTTTTGCAAAGCATTGTGCGATGGAAACAAAGGTCATAAAACACATTCAACACAATCTCATCGCCCAGTTGGAATTGTTGGTCAGATGCACGAGAGAACTAGAAAATTAGTTACCAATTTTTGCACGGAGTGCGTAGCCGGAAACAAGACATTTCGAAGCCTGGATACATTTTACGAACCATGCTATTACCGAGATTATCGCTCTGTCAATGATTATTACGACTCCTGGGTCATCGCTGGAAATAAGTCGCTTAAACCGTCAATGTATTGGAAGTGGTTTATGGCAACATTCTGGAAAGAACTGGCAGACGAATATGGTGTTATACCAGCAAAACCTAATTTCTTTTGGAGGTTCATTTCATTTTATGAGGCGATAGAACAGCTTATGCGTGATTACGATCTGTAAAAGGACTTGGTTTTCATGCCCGTTCATGGTTTTCCTTACTTATTACTACTATATGAATTGTAGTATTAAACACTCAGTGCCGCCGTATATCATCAGCACACAGAAGAATATTATCGTAGTACGTAGGCACATATATATATTAACCCACCATATATACTTTTCTGTCTAATACAGTCCTTGTAGCCTACTGTTTAATTATTTTTTTCTATTAAATGTATTATTATTCACTATAATCTATTAAATTAAACTTAAATGTAGTATAAAATGTAATCAAACAGACTAAACTTTGGTCTAAAACGGTAAACATTGCATGGCTAAATCTTTGTTTGCTGAAATCAATGGCAATACCGAGTTTTAAAAACACTTACCAAACCTATTATGTTAAATGATTTGATGCTCTCATTTTAAGGACAAGCACAAATATAATAGACACGTTACAGTAGCAGTGATTCCTGCAACTATACACCACTGACATTTATAACATACACATGCAACTATGCAAACATTACAGCATTACATTATCAATCTTTCACATACTCACCACAAAGACACACACAAGTTGCTGTATGCAAGTCCTTGGGATCCCATCATCAAATCTGTAATGTCAATGATCTCAAGTCTGGATCTTCAATCAACTATACTCCTACGAGCACCTGTTGATAGTAACAACGTTTTAACTAATCGTTTTCTTAGAAGAGACGTAGCAAACTCTATGTGAGGAACATATAGCATCCATGCTTATTCGCCATAGAAGCGTTCGTTTAGTTTTTAATTTATTCAGTATAAAGCACTGCATGTCATTTTCCATAAATCAAATATGTTCAGACAACTTGTCTCATGAACTATATTATAGTACTGAGCTATATAGTCATATAGATAGCTGCACTGATTTGAACACTTTACATTGTCAAGAAGTAGCTATACAGACATCACATTAATTAACAATTATTTGCCAATCGAATGCGAGGTGTGAGACAACGTCGAGGTATTTGTTTGATTGTAATCAATGAGCGGGGGGCGAATAACTGTTTAACGTCGCTCAACCAATCAAAGGCCAGAATTTTCAACAATCACCTTTGTAATTATACTAAAGACATATATTTAAAAAGCAGTGCGCGGACCATTGGTATGTTGAGATACGGTGAAACACGACTCGCATGCAGTTCTTTCAAAAACTATTAACTTTGATTTTCAAAATGCCAAGGCTATGAAATTTATCATTCGCTATAGTGCATGTGTTAAAAATGTTTAATATTTATCTGTCATATCACAACATTCCACAAATCACTTCGTGTGGACAATAGTCGTCATGGAACTGAATGCATTCAGAGAATAACATGTTCTTTACCTGGTTTACGGTTTTTCCGTAAAGACTGTCATGCGGTGTGATGTACTAATTTCATTCAAGAAGCTCAACAATGTCGTGTTGTTATACAAACAAAGGGTTAATATTGCCAACTTATACCTGGAGAAATTCTATAAAACATCGGACGCTATCCAAAATACTATACAGCAAGATTGAACACGTAGTACGCCAGATATGTCAAATGGCCATCTGCGAAAAACTGAAAAAAACCCAAACCATAAATATCATCAGTACAGGCGGTGTCAAGTTATTTCGACGCTTTTAGTCGAAGAAAAGATCTTAGCAAAGTCAAGAAGCGTAGTAAATGGAAACATCATCTTGTTGTTAGGCAGTTTTAGCCGGACAAAAGATCTTAGCAAAGTTAAAAGCACATGAAAAGAAAACGCAACGATGCTCGCTTTAACTTTGCAATATTCACACGCAACAAAGAATCAGTCAACATGGCAGACCCAGAAACGTTCAGGTCATCAAAATACTTACAGAATCTTGAACTTTGAAGGAATATATGTTGACATCAATGTCTTAAAGTTCCAGCATTGACGATATGGTTACTATACGTAAATAAAAGGCAAGAAGAGAGTTGATTTAACAAAACATAAAGTGCGTCCATATTCCCTTCTCTCAATCTCGTCTGGCAAATACCGAACTGAAAAGAACAACAAAAATTGAACTCAAGGAAAGGTTAATTTGCGGAATGTTGTGACATGTACTGACAGAAAACGAAGTTCTTTGAAAAAAACGTTGTATTTTGTTGCTGAATTTGTCCAATTTTTACGGTGTATTTTATCGCCTGGCATTTTGTGCAGGGAATGTCATGAAATATAAAATCATGCTGTTTTTTCAGTCTAAATTTGTGAATGTTTTCGAATATCGGATTGTTTACAAAGTGATAAAAAAGCATGAAGTATCCCAACACGCCTTAACACTGCTGCTTTTTAAATTATTGTATTGTAATTGTTTCGTATATAATCAATATTCTGAAGTTAGTTGTTTTAATGCAAGTATAGTCAATAAAATTGTAGAAAAAATACACACTCGGTGTTCTAGTTTCTTTTACCAGTTTGATTGCGTACATTATCGGTAAGGATGATTTTTGTTGAGACATTCAGTCTTCGTAATCATCCAATCAGAAGCGATGCAGGACCTCGATAAAACTGAATTATAATTTCTCTTTATTCTCATAACTTTCATAGCTAATTTGACTCACTAAATTTCATTTTGCAAATTTTACGCCAAGCATGCAGATATGTCTCCATGCTAACTCGCTCTTGTCAATTCCTCCTGAACGTTATCGACCTATATATAGATCAACTGGATCGTATAAAAAAATTTAACTCTTAGTGTTTTTTTACTATTTTATTTTAGTTAAAACTAATGCGGAACTATTCTCTCCACTTAAGATGAAAATACATTGATACTGCAGGAATACATAAAAATAGTTTTTATGCTGTTTTCAAAGGTTAGTTCGTTTCTTGAATATTGTGGAGACGTCCTTTTTCATACAGTGCTTCAAGAAATCTTTTAAGCTCAGAAGTTGCTTTCTTAAAATGCTTTCTCAGATCATTATTTTCACGAACGTAATGAGTAAGAGCTACGACAATGCCGCCAAAAATTGCCACAACAATAACAGTCATGTAAAACTCGTATCCCCCTTTCTCGTCTTTTAATTTTCCTGCTTCTTTCTCATCTCCAAACTCCTCTGCCAATTGCTCGCAGCTTTTGACTACAACGCGTCCTGTCATGATGACATAATTTTTTCCTTCTGAAATCGTTTTGGCTGGATGGATCTCTTGGAATTCGAAAGTAAATTCAGTTCTAGTTTTCTTCATCCCGTTCTGAACAACTATTTCCATTTTAACGTCGACTGTGGGGCAACATTTTTGAGAGATTTCAGATGACTCGTCATAATTGCTTCGATCCCCACAAGTGGCTATCGCCGTGGTTCGCCAAGAAGTAACAAGAGCAAATATGACAACATTGGAATAGCGTCTAGAAAACATACCCATTTTGTTGATGTGTTGAAAAGTAATATCGTACACGCGTAGAACAACCTTCCCGTGACTCTGTTAGTTCGACTATTGCGCGCACACATTTATAGACAGCGATGTTTATCATATGCAAGGGAAATAGTCAAGTGGATAACTTGACTATTATGGGTCGATGACCGCCAACGAAAGTCATGCAAACCAATGACATTTTAACTTCCTGTAATATTCTGGCACATAAATATACTTTCAATCATAACCCTTCTTTGTTTTCAAAAGCTGATTTTCTTTGAGTAGACAAACGGCAAACCTCACGAAAAGTTGCGAAAAATATTATTCAGATACTCCTGTTGGAATCGAACTCACAGGTCTGGGAACGTAAGCAGTTTTTTAACCACTAACCTACAGAAGAGTGAGAGGACTTTGCTTGTGGGCATAAATTTACGTATTGAATGATTTACGTGTGCATGGTACAGGTTGCAAAGGATGACTTGATAGTTTATCACTTAGTACATGTAATATATTACCTCTATATGAAAACCTATATCAGTAACATTCCCTTTCGTGGCAATCTTCCGTTTTCAATGGAAAATTGTTTTTTCTTATCATCATAACACATACACGAATATTTGGTGAGACACACTCCGTCAAACAAAGACATCCTATAATTTGAAACTCAAGATTCGTGTGTAAAGAAAGACACCCATGCAATTATTCCACTTGTCACTTGTGATATTGCTTAGCTACTTTTTTTTATTGCCAAACCAGGTTATTTCATTTATATCCATATGAAGGCGTCCGTTAATTTGTTCACGATAAGCGGACGGAAATTCCGGAATTGAATTTCCGGAAATTCACCAATTGGTTTGTTTTTAGCACTCTGCTTGTGGACTGTCGTGGAAGTTGTTAAATTAAAGTGCTACTTCTGTTCTACATCTTTTTCTCTAAACCTTATTTGTCTTTTTCTAAATCGCATTTCATATATATATATATATATATAAATATATATATATATATATATATACTCCCATTTGCAAAAACGTTGGCCACAGATAGATAGATAGATAGATACTCGAAGTCTAATTAGAATTGCATATGAATACATTTGCATGGGATTTCAATCATATTACACAACATATGCAATTCTAATTAGATTTCGGGTATCTATCTATATATCTATCTGCGGCCAACGTTTTTGCAAACGGGTATATATATATATATATATAATATATTATATATATAATATAATATATTATATATATACATATATATATATATATATATATATATATATATATATATATATATATATATATATATATATACACCCTGTAAATAAAGAGCAATTTATGTGTATATACAAGACGAATAATTAAAACAATTTTTGTTTCTCGCATAAATTAAACATAAACTCGAAAGGTATGAGCATGCAGCATTTCTCACTGAGTTCACGAGATACAAGGGCCGTCTGCTGGTTCAAAGCTCATTTACGCTGCAACGTGGTAACTACTCGACTTTTTTACCACGTTTTCGACACTCAGTTAGAACAAATTTTTAGCAAAACCAGTGAACTCAAATAAGACTGGAGCGCTCACTCTCTGACTTTCCCTCATTAATGAGTGAAGCCAAGATGGCCGATCATGATGCCTTTCTTGTAGGTATGATCCAGAAGTTTTTGTGGTATAAGATCAAGAAAACGTCTGTCAGACCTTACATAATTTTTTCCTATAAATGACGGATAATTTGAATAATTTTCAAAAGGAAGAATTGGTCCATGACTTTGCGCCATTTGTGCGAAAATTTGCTAATCATATATAAAAGTGCGTTAACTTTAACAAAGATTTGTATGTAATCCAGATGATAGAAGTTATAGCTATTACGACTTCCGACATGTTCATGAATGCCGGCATTGGTATTCAAGGTTTGCAGTTAGCGTGTTGATTTGTATTTTTTTGTATTGCTAAACAAATTAATAGACATTTGGAGCACAGTTGGAAACTAACCCATCATTGTTTTCCGACACAATAGATAAGTAGTGATATTGCTCATCTCTATAGAGAACATTCCAAACTGTTTCAAACTAAATTATGAATCCCCAAAATAAATGAAATTATTTTGGGTCTTCCAATAGAGTATTTTAATAAAATAGCCTGTTGTGATCTTGATCTTGAAATCTTAACTTTAATGTCAATTAGTTCTAAAAACATTTGAGGTTGTTATTGCGCTTCTTTGCTGGAAACCGACATTCTATTTTTGTGAATTTTCATAACAAAGGGCGAAGTCAGGCGCGGCTGCCTAATTAAAAATTAATCAAATTTTCTTTCTTCTTAAAATACACAAATCATAACCATAGCGTCAGTTACATAACTCGTGCGCTATCTAACACATTGAAAACCTATAACAAACAGACTTTTCCTTCCTCTTGGTTCTGCATTTTGATGATAAAATGCTTTTCGTGTAATCTACATGGTCAGCGTAGAGACATTGGAGTTGTAAGTACTTTGTTTATATTTTGTACACTTTGTATATGCATGATGTCTTAACATGCACACTTTGCTGTTCGTAAATCAGAAAACATCATTGCCTTAAAGAGCTTAAGTTGAATTGCACATGAATCGATGAGTCGTTTATCACTATTTATATTAATATATTCGTCTCGACAAGAAATGACATATTATGTAGGAGATTTACGTCGTACTAAAAGTGAAACCATTTTGCAGATGGGCGTTGTTTACATTGCATCTAATCCCTGACATTCTCAGATTATATATTTTGTTCACAAAATTTTAAGCTCGAGATATTTCAGGAAGAAATTATAATAAGAGGATAATATTTTACACGTGAATGCAGCCATGATTTTTGGACCTTTAACATTCAGGGTGAAAGCAAAACGAAATCTAAATTATGAACTTCGTGGCTTGCCTTTCCTTCAATTCAATGTAGTAAATATTTCAAGATATAGATCGAGTTTCGCTCTATAAACTACCATTCGAGAATGCGACTTGCACTTTGTCTTTGATTCCTAGCTCTTCAGGTTTTCTTGCGACGAAAGTGTGAGGGAAATGTACAGGGTGTGTCTTTTGAAATCAGATAGTTATAAAGTTGAATAATCTATCACTAGAATTTATCCCAAGGGATCGTAAACAAAATTCATCATGCTCGGGGATGTCGAAGTTCGACTGTCATAACTTATATGTGGCTACTCTAGTAACAAAGAATAAAACGCCTTCTCAAATCCCAAAGGTATAATTAGTTGCGCTGGTATATTGAAATGCTATTTGCAGTATCTACGTATGCAAATCATGGTGCTTGCGCTTTTTTAATACACCCTGTAGTTTATATAGCAGATATCAACAGAAAACCCACACATTTTCAGATAAACATATACATACCTAAGAAACGCCTCTTTCATTCAAAATATCTGACTGCATGGCAACATGCTGATATTATTATTGCACCTCATTGCGGGGTATCCATGCATGCATAGTACTTTATTGGGTCTCATAATAAAAAATTCAAAATTCTCTTTTAGCCTAATATATATAAAATGCAAGCTTGGGCGTCGTTGAGGAAGACTCGTTCTTGAATCCGTGTGAAAAGCATGCATGCATTCCTATTCATCCGGGCTATATCCAAATGAACTTTCAAATCAGAATATATATAATTATAGATCGATATATAGGTAAACAACATAATTGCCAGAAAGCTATAAACACGATATGCAAAATGCATTTTGGCAAAAGACAACAGTTTTATATATTCTCTGTCATTCATTAAAGCAGGATGTGGTTTTTAGGTCTATATAGTTTCATGATATGTTATTTTTGCGTTTCTCTGCTGGAGACGGTTGTTTTCTTGATTACAGACAATGATCGAGCTTAAAATGGAATCGTTATAAGTAAGGAAATTGACACGTCGCATTCAATGAATTGGAGTGCGAGTGAGCTTTTAGTATATAAACGTTAAAAGTTTAAACGTTCCTGAAAGTCTAAGCTTTCCTTATTCGAAATATACTGCTAAATATTTGGGCGGTGGTTGTAACACCTCTAAACATCCACAATTCAGTAGAGAGTATTTTTTCCACATGACCAATATGCTACCGAGAAAAGGGGTCGTCAACACCATTGTAAAACACTATTTTATGAATCTTTTCAAAATTTTAACCGTTGTTTCTTTTTATTTCCAATCCCATTTGAGGACATATACAAATAATTTTGGACGTTTGTTTGTGCAAACACCACGTGAATTTAGTTTTGCAAAACTACAGTGGGTGGTAAAAAAAAGTGGCCCCCAACGAAATATGGCACACATGTATCTTTGCATTATAAATGAAGGTACGCCAGTAAATATTATGTGTGTTTGAGCATATTTCTTTAGTTTTAGGAGCCAGCTTATAAAAATTGTGATTATCAACTTCAGATTAAGAGAATAAAATGGATTTGCACTAATTTTCGTAAAAATTCAAGATGGCGGTTTTTAATCAGATGTGCATGGAAATTATGTAATTGTTTGTCAAAAAAACTGTCTGATTCATAGCAAATTGTTCGCTACCTACAATTTAAACAATTAAATAACTAAGTAACAGAATTTGACTTGACAGAATATTGCCCCTCTGAAGTCTGGGTGTTTGTATGGTAATGAAAATGGTACTCAAAACCCACCTAATAAAGAGTTGTACCTACAAATCCTGGAATATATCTACAATTTATTACCTTTTAAACCACCCATTCACATTTGGATGCAAATACTGTGTCCCTTAAGCTGACTGTGTTTGGAGAACATTCATTGCATCACGCATTGTTCTTGATTGTATCATAACAAATGAAATTTATTCTTCAAAAATTAGTTTGTATTGAATTATATGAATTATCTTTATGAATATAATTACATAATGTTAAATATTGGGCACTAAATATACAGCAAAGTTATTATTTCACTGAATCTTTGCTACAAAGCCCCAATCTTGGCTTTTAGTGTAGAGAACAATTCGTGTAATTTTTCGCACATCCTATTTCTCGAAATGTCAATTTTGCATAAAAAAGATATCAAACCGATTGAATATACACAATCAGAAATGATTTGTTAGACGGACTTCTTCCCATATTATGACTAACAACTGAAGGTGTTACTATTTATGGGGGGCCACTATTTTTTGACAACCCATCACTGATATGTAAACATTCAAAGAACTTATATGCAAATAACTTGTTTAAGCTCTGCTTTCAAATGACACTTGTAATTGACTTTAAAATTCCATGAATTACGTGCCAATGATTTAATGATAATTTAAAATTCAATTTACCAGAGAATCAACAATGGCAAGGCGCAACGTGTTAATGATATAGAAGATCAGTAGCTAACTCCCGAAAGACAACAAACTGAGATCCAGAGGGTATGGTTTATAAAACTTTAACCTAAAATATAGCTACGTGACTCAAATTCATGCCAATACGTTTTTTTACTGTCATGCAGTAGCCTAAAGGAACTGATCTATGAAATTTAATAGCTGTGTTTTGCAATGTATTTAAAACTTTCAATTTATGGTGTAAAGATGTCCCGGGTGCAAATTGCTCAGAGCAATGCTGCATTCGTGTGATTATCATGTTATTTTAATATGTAGTGTATGGTTATAGTTTTTTGATTTGTTATAATTAAAACTCGGTTTAAAAAAACATATTTTTTTAAATTTGTTTGGCAATCTGTTGTGCATGCCAGGGCATGGTGCGCTCAAAAAACAAACGCATTAAAGCCTTTTTTATTATATCCGTAGTACAAATCGTAAATATTATTGGTGAAAAGCAGCTGCCGAAAACAAAAACAGGAGTGGATCTGACCCAAAGAATCTGAAAAAAAACAACTTCTACGGCTGAGATCACAAACACACACATTGCATACACATTCAAGCGATAAAAAGCAATGTTAAATCTCCAGGGTAGTGTTGGTGTAAGACCTAATTCAAAATATTCTTTAAAACAAGCTAGGTCAGTCGATAAATATACACTAAACGATGATCAGTTAACACATCCAGATAAGATACCTGATTATATTTTTAATAAACTGATGATAGGTGATTACCATGTCCGTGAATTTAAATTAAGTAACGAAGCTAGAAATACTTACGACTCCGTTGAGAGCGAGGATGAAGATAATGTGAGGGAGGATGAAGGTGATGAGAGGGGGGATGAAAATGATGAGAGGGAGAATGAAAGTGATGAGAGCGAGGATGAAGATGATGAGAGGGAGGATGAAAGTGATGAGAGGGAGGATGAAGATGATGAGGGGGAGGATGAAGGTGATGAGAGCGAGGATGAAGATGATGAGATAGAGGATGACGATATTGGCGAGGAAACAGGAGTCCATCCGATGGATGCATTCCTTGGTATTTTTCATTCTTCCGATATTTTTTTACGACGTTATCTTGCTACTAGGTTATCTGAATGTCAACTTAGTGTTCCATTTCTTCTGCCTGATCCTATGACGGGGAAATCTGAAAACGTCACAATGTTACTTTCAGCTTTACAAAATATCACGAAGTCTTGGAAAAGTGGTTCCAGCAACAATGAAAGTGTACAAGAGGTGTTTGCAACAAAACATCCATTTCCAGTGGTTTCCTTCATCCGTCTTGGCAAACCTACCATGTCGAAATCATTCTTGATCAACAAAATTATGAGCGAAGGAGGCAGTTACCATAATTTCTTCTTCCACAAAGATATGGAAGGTGGCGACGTCGAAAGGAAAGTTGTCGATGGATTGGTTGAATTGAGCTGGTATCTTCCTAGAGGAAAACCGAAGGCAATACTGAAACGTGAAATTTGCTTTGCAAATCTTCGAGGAGAGGCTACAATTTTCAAGAAACAACTAAAAGTTCTTTCGAAGATATCATCCACTCTTTGTATAGTGCTACCATCAGCATGTCCGGATCACACCATGCAAAATATTTTAGATAGATTTGCCCGTAACAACACAAAAGTCATTCTTTTATTCAATAAAAAAATAATGAAAAGTGGAAAGAAATATTTTGACAAGTTAAAAAGTAGTTCTAATGAAAAGTTCTCTTTGATAACGAAGGCGGAAAAAGGCAATGAATATGACTATCTTAAGACTATCCGAGAAGGTATCAGAAAGAAAATAGATGGAGTGAAAGCAAGGCCTCTTGTGAAGATATCGGTGCGTGCAGATGAATATAAAATTCAACTTGAGGACGATCAAATAGATTCAGAGTTTAAGGCGATGATAGACAGCTTGTTGGAAAAGGGGATTGAAAGAGTGAAAAAATTGATGACGTTGCAAATTCACATCCCAGTATTGGCGGGGTTGGAGCGTGAGATGTATCGCCCTAAACGTCATGGTAACAAATTTATTAAAGAAGATAATAACGAAATATATGAGAAAGTTGCAAAAAGTAAAGAGGCGCAAAAGACATCTTTGAAACATCTTGACAAAGATATTCTTAATTGTCTTAATCACATTACAATGATGGATGAATTGGAACGACATAAAGCATTGAACATGTTGAAGCACCGGTTGGAAATACAAAGATCAAATGCCTCGCTTGGCTTAGAACACGTCATCAGAGAACTAGCCCAGCTATACCAAATTAAAAGAAATACAAAAGACAGTGCAGGTGAAAACGAATGCGACTATGCAGGTGCTGCGGCAGATATGTTGCTTTCAGGACAACCTCTTGAGCTTGTTGACGGCGATTCCTTTTACATTCCAATGCAATGGTTCAATGCTGTGTGTACCAAATTAAAAGAGAAAACCAAAGATGCGAAAATATTTGTGGTTTCAGCTGTAGGAATTCAAAGTTCAGGTAAGTCGACATTGTTAAACACAATGTTCGGTTTAGATTTTCCAGTCAGTGCAGGTAGATGTACTAACGGCGTTTTCGTTAGCCTTATTTCTGCTAGTGATTCCCTTAAGTCAACTTCAAAGTTTGATTATGTCCTGGTTGTTGATACTGAAGGTCTCAGAGAATCATCAGATCCTCAGGTGCTGGAACGCAACAATGAGCTGGTAGCTTTTGCCATTGGTTTGGCAGATTTAACAATAGTAAATGTCATGGGGGAAAATTCTGATGAAATGAAAGATTTCTTAGGAATAGCTGTTCATGCTTTCTTAAAGATGAAGCTTGTCGAAGAGAACAATAAGATGTCTTGCAAAATTGTTCACCGAGATGTTACAGCTGCTAATGCAAAAGAAAAATTAGCAGACGACCGTTCAAAATTCATAAAAAACCTAGATGAAATGGCCGAGAATGCTGCAACTCAAGAAAATTGCAACGACCAATACAATAAATTTAATGATATAATTTCGTTAAATGAAGAAGATGACGTGTTTTATTTACCAGCACTACTATTAGGAAACCCACCAATGGCTCCTGTAAACCCTGAATATGGAAGATGTGTTCAAAAAATAAAAAATGGCATAATTGAGTTGATGGGTTTGAAAGAAAGCTCTCACCATTCTGTGTCTCATTTTCAAACGAGAGTCGCTGACCTTTGGAAAGCACTTTTACAAGAGCATTTCATATTTAGTCTCCGGAACACGATTGAATTGAGAGCCCGGAGGTCATTGGACGAAAAGTATTTAGAGATGTCTGTGTCTGTGATGGTGACAGGAATGGCCGAGCTTAAAGGAGAAATTGATGTTGCTTTGAGAAACTGCTTAACACCAAATCAACGAGAGAAAGAATGGGCTGAGGGAAGGAGAGCGATAAATAGTAAGGCAAAAGAACTTGAAACAAAAATGGAAGATGCAATGGATGAGTTTTTTGAAACCAGCGAAGACAGGGCAACTCTTGATAAGTGGAGAAGAGAGATCAGCGAAGAAATAAAGAAAGAAAAGGAGAATCAAGTGAAAAAAGTAGAGTACAGTTGTTCCAAAACTTTGTTATATCTGCAAAGGGTTCAAGATATAAAAGAAAAGCAGATAACCTATGAAGAAAAAGTCACGGAAAAAGCTAAAGCGTTCATTACTTCTTATTATGGTTCTCAAGATAAGGAGGAATTGAAGAAGATCTTCGAAGAAGAATGGCAGCGATGGATTAAAGATGTTCCAGAGTCGCAGGAAAAGGAAATTAACATCAAAGACGAAATGGTGACTGTTCTGTCCGAAAAAGGCGTTAGTGAAGATAAACTACAACAATTTAAAAATACATTAAATTTTCAACATCCTAGTATAGATGTTAGTAATGTCACATACCGCATAGGAATTTTTAGAGAGTTGTTCCAAATGTTGTTCCGAAAGACCACGATTGAAGAAGAATGTGTTAATTGGGCTAAAGAAATAGCGAAGAAGGCCGTTGATAAGGCTAGTGAATTTGCCAAAAGTAAATCAGAATCAGGTCTACAGTTTACCCGTGCTTGTCTCGAAGAAATGTGCGACAATGTACGTAAAACTATAAATGATGGAACTAAGAAATACAGCGAATACTCCTTGGGATTCAGTAAATCTTCGAAATGTAAGATCTTGCTTCATATTTTTTCCAACACGTACAAATATTTTGATAAGATGCAAAAGAGTTTTTTACAACAACACGATATTAGAGGTAACTTGAAAAAAAACCTGCATCCAATTTTGGAAAAATATTTTGAAAATGTTAGCGATCCGGATAAACAACTGCAGCTAGCAGCTTCTTTGTTCGTTGACGTGATTGAAAAGCAAATTGAATCAGCGCTGGATAGTAAAATGGGGCTTGTGGTGGCGAAGAGAATATCAAAGAACATCGAGTTCCAGAACAAAGGTAAATTTCATGCTGGAGTTCTGATAAAGCTTGGAGAGGAAGGCAAGTTTGAGTCGTACAGTCCTTATTTTGAAGATCCAATGGAATTTCTGAAAATGAAATTGAAGGACAAAATTGAATATCACTGCCTTAATGAAATCAAAGTTGACACTGTCTCACTTTTCGTAAACGAAGTTAACAAGATAAACGGTAACGTTTTGGAAGCTATTGATTTTGCCGACGAAGAAACAGGAACCGAAGAGACATTGTCTTTCTGGATTCAGCAATTTATTAAGAAGTGTTCAACACTCGTTGTGAAGAAAGAAATGTTTGCAGTAGGCGCCATTGAAGATCTGGACAAAATTGATGCGTTCCAGGAAAAAGTTCGAGAGAGTCTAGATGAGCGTGTAAACTCTTTGATCGAGCGTGGAGTTAATACTGCAACCTTCCGCAAATGGGATCCATCGCCACACGAAATCATCTTTGACGAAATGTTTGCTTGTCAATGTCTTTGCCCCTTTTGCAAGGCTTTGTGCGATCAAAATAAAGGTCATATAAGTCATTCAACACAATCTCATCGACCTGGAGGAGTTGTTGGCATTAAGGACGAGAACACCAAGAAATTAAGCACCAATATTTGCACACAGTGCGTTGCTGGAGACAAAACATTTAAAAACCTGGAAACATCTGGCAAGACATACAAGTACGGAGATTATCGTTCTGTCAATGATTATTACAACTCCTGGGACATTCCTAGAAGTATATCGCTTGAACAATCAATGTACTGGAAATGGTTTATGGCAACCTTCTGGAAAGAACTGGCAGACGAACATAATGCTACAGCAGAGAAACCTAATTTCTTTTGGAAGTTCATTACATTCGACGAGGCAAAAAAACAGCTTATACGTCAATACGAACTGTAAAAAGACTTAAAACCGTACTCTTCATGTCTCTTCATGGTTTTTTTAATACTATTATATGAAAATAATTTAGCACTAAGTGCCGCCATATAATCCATTAGATTAAACTTAAAAGTAGTATAAAATGTAATACAAAACTATAGTCTAAAACGGTAAACACTGGCTAAATCTGTGTATCCAGAAATCAATATTGCTATAGTTTTCAAGGCACTAACCATACCTATCATGTTAAATCATTCAATATTCCCATTTGAAGGACATGCACAAATAAAATAAACATGTTATCGTGCAATTATTTCAGCCACTATACACAACTGACACTTTTAACAAAAACATGCAAGTATTACACCATTACACTATCAATCTTTAACATACTCACCACAAAGTCACACACGCTCAGTTGCTGTATGCAAGTCCTTGGGATCCTATCATCAAATCTGTAACTTTATTGATCACAAGTTCTGGATCGTCAATCAACTATATACTCCGACGAGCAACCATTGATGGTAATGAAG